TGTTACATTTGAAGAGGCCAAGGAATTGCACGACTTTTCCCTTTTCAACTCTGCTTATTTGTCTTGGTAATATCTGACACCATTTCGCCACTATCCATCCATTCAGAGGGCGTCTTGGGGTTTTACCATAATCTAAAGAGAAGGTTTAAGTGGCTTTAAATAGATCAAATTGCTCGGTAGTATAATGAACACGGTACTGATGGATAATAGGCAACTTGAATTTTGAGATTCTCCATTCCTTTTCTCTATCATGTTTTTTTTTTTCCGTTCATTTTGTTCTTCCTCTGTCTCTGTCTGTTCTTCCCTTGCCATTAACTTTCTAGGCCTTAGAATCCAGGATTAAATGTAACAATTGACGAGTCCTGTTGCTCTGACCTCTAACTTCTAAGTCAGTTTTTACCCTACATTATTGATCGTTATATTCACAGGATTTTTGTTGGACCCCTTGGTAATTATTTCCTTCTTTCTATTTTGTTGGTCTGTCATTTAGGAGCATGAACAAATGCTTTGGGTTCAACGTCAACAATTTCCATTATTTATTTTTTGGTCTATTTTGTCCTTGTATGGTTTTGTTATATGCCTATCTCTATATTTTTTTTGTATCTTCCATGGTTGTTATGGGAGAGTATTTTTTTGTCTGTATCCTCCAAGTACGAAGTATGAAGTGCGAATTTGGGGTGTAGCCCAAGTAGTGTACTGCAACCATATCATCTTGCAGTGGGCTAATTAAGTGAAGCAGAGTAGGAATGATAGGTGTAATTATTGGGATCTCAAGCTTTGCTGGTGATACAAAATGTCTCGACCTCCTCCATGGTTTTAGGACCAAAAAAATTACAGAAATGTAAGAGACACTCTATGTTTCTCATCTGCCCTAGAGAATTACAGCAAAGAATTGAGAGACGCGTATTTATTGCGTGAAATGGCTGCTCATTGCCAAGACAGTTCAACAATGGAGCCACATGATGAACAGTCAAGTAAGTGTTTATTTTTTTCTCTGAAAAAAATTGATCACCTGTTATCCCAGTCTCTTCCCTTTTCCTTGCTCCTGTGGACATCTTTAGATCTGTTTTCTTTGTCCTCACCTATTGCCAGATGGCAATCTCACTTTGCCGCCTTAAGTAGAATCTCCGTTCTCCTTGATTGAGGTTTTGTGTGCTATGTGCTTCTTTCTCCTTTCCTTCCATCGCCTTGTTTGATCCGCTTGTTAGATTGTAGGTTTATTAGGGGTTTTACATACAATAGCATCTAATAAGTGTAGATTAAATAATTTTGGCTAGACTTTAGATGTTCAAACGTTTTAGTTATGTAGTTAGAGCTTTGTTCCTGTCCTGGACAATGTTATTGCTAGAAAATGTAGGATGGTTTATGGAAATGAGAAATTTTTATTGACTCATGCAAGTGACCAATTAATGGTAGATATTGAATGGGATTGAAGGAGTATCAGATATTTAAGTTTGTAAGGCAAATATTACTTTTTACATCATAGAAGCAGCAAGAAGCTGGAAGTGTCTTATTATTTGGTCAGAAAGCAGTCAAAATGGTCAATGCTGCTAACTTTTCGTTTGGAAACCTTTGCAATTTTTTTTTACTATTTTGGAAATCTGTAGTTTGAATTTCAAATGCAGTTTCTGCATTACTTTGTCTCCCTGGGCTGTAAATTCAATTTTTCCCAGTTTAGTCGCTAGAGATATTTGAAGCTGATATATCTATGATCCTTCTGTTGAAAGCTAATGCTGTTTTATCAATATAATTTATTCTTTTCGACAGATTATGCAGTCCTCTGCAATATCTTGACCCCTTCTATGTAAATTCTAGGAAAAGATATTGCCTGTAGTTTTGTGTTTGTTATGCCTGAATTACTAATGGGAGCTTTGTATTAAACTTAGCTACTAGCTCATTACTTATTTTTTTTTTTAAATTTCCTAGCTTTTAGGATTTTGGAAGATATGTTGTCCTCCCTGCCACCACTTTCCGAGCTTTTTCTCATCAAGATAATCTGTATTATCTGAAAACGAAAACCAGTAGCTTTTAACTCGTTGGAGAAGCAGGCTCGATGACATTGTGAATTATGAGCATTCATTTTCTCTCCTGTGTAAATGATTGAGTTTAACTTTGGTGATTTTATGTTCATTTTTCTTGGAAGCTTTATAATGGTTTATGGTATGTTATGCAATTGTATAATGCATCTCTGTTTTCTCTAATATTTTCTAATGTAAATTTGCACTTTCACGTTTCAGTTGCAGGTTTGTGGACCCTCGTGATCTGTTTCATTTATGGTTATGAACTGATCTCAGATTGTACTAAGGTGGGTGTACCTATTTATGCTGTCTTCAATTTTTTTTTCTCTGGTTCTGATTATATCTACATTGTGATATCACTATTTCTAGTTAAATATATTTGTTTTATATGATATGCCATGAATTATGCAAGTTTAACACAGTTACTTTCGAAATCAAATTGATATTATTAATATTATTATCTTTGATGAGTTGTATAAAATTTTGAAGATTGGAGATTGAAAAGAGGGGGATTTCTGTTAAAGCTTGACTTAGATAAGGCATACGACAAAGTGGCGTGGAATTTCTTAGACCACGCTCTTTAATTAAAGGGTTTCGTCAGGAGATGGATTTGGGATTGCCTCTCTCACACCAATTTCTTGATTATTATAAAGCGGAGACCTAGGGGAAAATTTGTGCGGAGAGATCCTATTTCTCCCTTCTTGTTTACCATTGTGGGTGATGATTGAGTCGTTCATTGCACTTCTGTTGTGAAAGAAGGATTCTCACAGGCTTTTTGGTGGGTGGGAGTTGCATAGAGATATTCCATCTTCAGTAGTGGATGACATGATACCTTTTTGCCCCGAAGATAATTTGATCCTCGATTGGTGGGTAATCTTGAAAGCTATTCTTCATGGAGTTGGTCTATCATTGTACACCACGACGTCTTCGCTCATTGGGATCAAAATAGAAGATCAAAATGTCAGCTCTCTGTCGATTGAGTTGGATTTCAAAGTATTTAAATTCCAATTCTCCTATTTAGGGTACCCTTTGGGAGGCAATCACTGAAAAAGGGCCTTTTGGGAATTCCTTTACGACAGATTTAAAGAAAAGCTTGATAAATGAAGGTGCTTGATGATTCCTAAAGGAGGGAGGCTTACCATTGCCCAATCGGGTGTTGATGAGTTTCCCTATTTATTTCTTCACCCTCTTAAGAACTCCAAGGAAAATCATCAATGATATTGAAAAGCTTATCAGAAATTTCGTTTTCAGTGTTAGTGGTACGACTTCTGAGTCTCACTTGGTCAAATGGGAATGAGCTTTTCTGCCCACCCCTCGTGGGGCCTAGAACAATGAAATACGACTCTTCTCTTCACTTGGTCAAAGTATATTTTGTCTCATCACTTGGTCAAAGTATATTTTGTCTCACACTGCACCTATATGAAATATACTAATTTGGGCTTATAACTTGAGTGTAGGTTCTCTATAAAACTTTCTAGTGTCAATCCTTCTCACTCCCTAGGTCACGAGACAAACAAAGAATCAAATCTTCTTTGGAATTTTATACCTCCCTAAAGAGAGAAAAAAGGTGGTGAGTGAGGATACGAGATAGTCAATTGAAGATACAAAGACTTCTTTGCTATAAGGCTACATGCCCTTCAGGTGGCTTCTCAATCGTTTCGATCTTCATTAGGAACCTCATCCCAATGGATGTTGCCGCTGGCACCTCATACCCATCCCTAATAAGGCTAAGGTCCCATAAGCTAGTTTGGACGACCTATCCTCGTACCGTTCCGAAGTGGAAGCACATCCCTCATAGGCATGAATTTCCATGTTTTGAGTAACACTTTCTTTAGACCTAGTGGGGGCCTGACCTATTGCTGATGACCTACTACATGAAGTTCTCTCCCTAGGGGGAGAGTCGCCTCCCTCCAGCGGCTTATAACTTTCTCTCGAGCTGTTCTCGCTTGACCTTGGGCCACTACTACTACTCGAGCTAAAAAAAGAGGGGGATGATCCTGGCCTTCCATGTAACCCCCCGTCTAAAGGCCCGAATCGCACGAAAATGCTAAGTACTTGAGTAGGGCTTGCTTAACATGCTTGGCACTTGACCTTTTGGTGCCATTTATTACTGCTGTTGAATGAGACAGCTTGCCCCACGTCAACGCCTCTCTGCAAAAGGTCGCCCGACGATTTGACATGAGAGGGGGCCAATGCTGGGAGGCGAGGCCACAAGCCACATGGGCCAGCTCAGTAGTCGAAATCTACACCGAGTCCGCAGGTCGGCGCAAAGGACCCCTCCAAATAAACTATATCTGAGCTCGTCAGAAGCGAGCTCTGACATCATAAGGTACTATCAAAACTGAGGAGTGGGTGACCTACTTGGGAAACAGTTTTACCGTTCGACAATGAGTAACTAAAATCTGTCTGAGGCTGGTCTACCCAACTTGAATGTAGAATTAACTTGAGCGTCGGAGTGCTCTACCTGTTTTTGCAGGTTTTCCTTCTCCAGCACGTTGGGACCTAATCCACGCCGGTCTACGACACTTGGTAGAATTCAACATCAACACTCTCCTAGATATTCTTAAACGAAACATGGGGATGGGGCACTTGGTTTGTAGTTAAGTAATTGAGAAGAGATTTGACCGAGAAAGTATTTCTGGAGTTCAGAGGCCTAAGGCCATAACCACTTATCCTCTGAAGAGAACCATAGATACCAGTTTTTCTGAAAAAACAGTGCAAATCTCAGATTTTTGGTGTGTTTGAGAGTGCTTGTGTTTTTAGCAAAAGTATTATAACAAAAACACTATGATGTTTAGCTCTATATCTTTCAAGTGTTTTTTGTTTTTTCTAAAAGTACTTACGAATCACTTCTAAATATTATGATTTTGAGCAAACATAGCCTTCTGCCTTTATGTTATCATGATTTATGGTCTTGCCAGCATTTCTTTTCGCATCTGATTTGGTTTTTTTTCTGTTCTTAGGTGGTAATTTTACAATAGCGATGTAAGCTGAATTCCAATATCGTCCATCTACAGTTGCTGCCCCTTGCAGCCTCAACGAACAATACGTTCCATCTTATGAAGCAAAGTTCGATACGGGATTAATTTCTCTTTGTTGCATAAATTTGTCACAGAGCAGCTTGTGCTCACAAAATTTATGGCTACCAGTGGTTGGTTCATTCCCTCTGCCGAAAAAATCTGCTCTGAACCTCCAAAGTCAGTTCACGAGTTTTCTTATTCACTGTTTCAAAAGGTGGAGAACAGTTTGATACATTTTCCCTGTGGTTCTCCAACTTTCACCTATGTCCTGTACGTTACCACTCGTTTACATTGACATAAAAAAGGAGATATCAAGGGATCATCATTCTTCCACTGGGTGCAGGTGCATGAACCACGACTTCAAGCGTCACACATCCGTTGACTACCTACCGTTTAAGTGTCAGAATCGGTGTATGGAAAGCTTGGCTACATTGCCTCATGACAAAACAGGTTTGGCAGAGTTTAATACAAATTTTATCCCCTTCCAGTTTCATTTTTGAATTAGGGTAGGTTTTGGAGTTGGGTGAAATAAAAAACAAATTAAAGCTTGTTGGCACTTGTTTTTCTGAAATTTGTCACCCGTGGCTGTGCTTCCAAATCACACAAATGATTGTTTGTCACAGTTTGATGATATTTTTACATATGTTAGTCTATAATTCTCATTTGAACTACCAATATATGAGATCAGGTTTTATAGTGATTTGTAGCACTTCTTCAGAACTGAAATGAAATATTTATTTTAGATACCGTTTCTAATATGAACATTTGAAAAAAAAAAAGTAAGCAGATTTATAGGGTTTAGCTATCAAGAGAAGACTAGCAAATGCAGTTTCATCTTATCTACAGCTTCAAAATTATTATTTTCCTCTCAAAACATTTATTTAGAATCTATGGAATAAATGAGGCTAACATAGAAATAAAAATTTGGAAATAGGAGATTCAGAGTTGTATTTCATGAAGTGTTTTTAAATTTGTGTTTGGTGGCAGATTTAAAAATTTAAAAGTTTGTTCTGGAGTATTTAGTGATATATATTTGTAAATTAGCAGTAGTTATTAAGTTTATTTTAAGATATTGTTAATTAATTAATATATGTTATAAATGGTATAAAATTATTTTTTTTATAATATCATATTATTTATAATATATAGTGTTTTATGCACTTTGATTTTAACAAAATAAAATAATTTTATAACATTGTACACTCATCAAAGTTTTATCTTTTTTTAATATACATTTAAAGTTTCAAATTTAAAATATTACTAGGATCACATAAATTTGTCAAATATATATTTAACAGAATTAAGTTTCATACTAAATGTGGACCGGAGACCCTAGTTAGACAAATTGACGTTATTTTAACCTCAAATGAGTTGTAATTTTTATTAATTTTTATTTTTTATAATATAATATTATAAATATCTAAATACCTCACGGAGTTATCTACTTTTAATTTAGAACTTAGAAATGACTAGTTTGAGTTTGGGTTAAGACATACATTTCGCATATATTTCTCGTGTTCAAAATTCTATCCTTGCATTTTAACAAAATTCAAAATGTAAATTCAAATTAGAAGTGGAAATTGTAATTATAACAATTAACAAAGTTTAAAGTATGCATGATATAATATAATATAATACCAATAATGTAGTTCTAAAATCATCAAATATTTTCTCAATTTAGTCTAAAAAAAAAGAGAGAGAGAAATATTTTCTCATTATTAAAATAATTCTTTAAGCGGGCTGTTAGGAAGAAATAATTTTTGATAATATTAAATTATTAATTCACAGAAAATTCAAAATTGCCTGTTGCAGTTCCATCCCCGTGGGAGTGGGCCCCACTCCCCTTAAAATAATATCAACGAACTGACAATAGTTTTTGGCGGGATCGAGAATCGCCGGCGACCGAGCTCCGGCCGTGCCCTGAACTTAGCTTCTTCACATGGCGGCCTTCATTTATTCACGTACCGATTCAGGTCTCGTTCTCGTTCTCGTTCTCCGTTTGGTCGTCGCCGAGAGAGAAGATGAATATTATGCTGTCTCTGCCATATTCTCTCCCAAGCTGCAGCTACCGCCCTTTTCTCGTCTCTTCTACTTCCGGCAATTTTCTCCCTTCGTCTTTGTCCTCTTCTTCTCCGGCTGGATTTCGCCCTGCATCTTCGCTACGGTTGTCCGACGAACGAATTAGGGTTTGGAATCCGGTCTTCCGTTCCCGAGCGAGGCGGATTGATGTGAGATTGCCGGTTCCTCCTCCTCGGTGCGGACCTTCATCGAGCGGCAGCGGCGTCGAGGGCGAGCGGAGTTTGAGGCAGTGGATCGAGTTGCTCGGTGAAGCTTTATCGACTGCGTTTCCAGTGTGGGTGGCGTTAGGTTGCTTGCTAGGGCTGCTCAGGCCGGCTGCGTTCAATTGGGTCCGACCGAGATGGACTGTTCTCGGTATTACCCTCACAATGCTTGGTATGGGTATGACATTGACCCTCGACGATCTTCGTGGAGCCCTGGCTATGCCTAAGGAATTGATTTCTGGGTTCTTGCTCCAGTATTCGGTTAGTTCGTTCATTTGTTTGTTTCATTGTTGTCGATTACACTGTTGTTCTAACGAATTTGTAGCTTACGGATTTTGTTAATCTCGAGTAAAATCTTGTGTATGCTGGATAGAATTCTGAATCTGTAAATAGAAAGAGGCACCTGGGGGCTGGGAATGTTAGAAAGTAGTTCATGGAAAGGGAAAATGAAAGAAGAAATGTTCGCGATCTATGAATAAGAAACGAGAGAAATTTTCAAACTGAAATTTCAACAAGTCAATGCTATCGCCAGGCAGTCAATCAAATTTTACGCTAAGACTCTCGTTTCCAGAATTGGAAATGTCTAACCATATTAAAATATCAGGATGAGATGAAGATTGCTATTACAAGCCAAAAGGTCGAATGTCTCGTTGTCTTTTATTTGCCATTACTTTCTATGACTTGTATGCTAACTGTGAGAGGACAAGCGTTTCATTTTTATGAAAACCTCCCATTATTGTTCCACTGTGTAGGATCCTACTGAGTTTGTAATCATGCACTTCAGTACTGAGGCCATATGGATTTCAATTTCAGTTTCTTTTGTGGTTCTAGGAACTTTGATTTATGAATGAAATTCCACTTGATAGATTTTCATGGTTCTTGTTGCAGGTGATGCCAATATCTGGTTTTCTTGTCAGCAAGCTTTTAAATCTGCCGTCTTATTACGCAGCTGGTTTAATATTGGTTGGCTGCTGTCCTGGCGGTATGCATCTCTTGATAGTGTGAATAGTCTTTCTCATTCTCTCTGTTTTAATAGTTTCATTTGTCTTTTGGTTTCAGGAACAGCAAGCAATATCGTCGCTTACATTGCACGGTATTTTAATTTTTCGAGATGCCATCGTTTAACTTCTTTCTCGTGAGCTTATCTGAGAGGCTAAGAATACTTTCATGGGTTTCCAGGGGAAATGTAGCTCTTTCTGTGCTGATGACAGCGGCAAGCACTGTAGCAGCCGTGGTTAGCGAACCTACATTATGAAGCCTTCTCTAATTCGGTGTTTAATTTTTCATATTCACATTACTGGCAAGCTGAGACACATTTTAGCAAGAAAATTTCCATTTTTATATAGTTCTTTTGCAACTAAAACAAAACTCAATGTCTTTGTTTGTAGAAATGCAAGCAAATAAGCAAAACCATAGCTATCTCTAGTTTCATGTTTACATTAACATAGGAAAAGCATTAATCGAACACTACAAGTATTTATGATCTAGCATCATATAAATTTTGTTTTGTAGTTCTCTTCATTTGAAGGAATATAAGAAGACAGTTTCATAAATATTGAAGACTTAAGTTTTCATTTCAATATACAGATCATGACCCCATTTCTCACTGCTAAACTTGCTGGTCAATTTGTTGCTGTGGATGCTGCTGGGTTATTACTTTCCACACTGCAGGTGACATTTCTAGCAATCGACCTGGATACCGACATTTTTTTCGATCTAATTACTGCATTAGTAACTTCCCTTTTCATCATATGCAGATTGTGCTTCTTCCGGTTTTGGCTGGTGCCTTTTTAAACCAGTATTTCCATGGCTTGGTTAGACTTGTCTCCCCATTGATGCCCCCTATTGCTGTTGGTACTGTAGCTGTTTTATGTGGAAATGCAATTGCCCAGAGTTCTTCTGCTATCCTCATGTCTGGTCAACAAGTCGTGCTGGCTGCATCTCTTCTCCATGCTTCGGGATTTTTCTTCGGTTATGTGCTTGCAAGAATGCTCGGTATCGATGTTTCATCTTCTCGAACTATCTCCATTGAAGTTGGCATGCAGGTAGAGCATTTCCTTTACCTACAGTCCCTTTAGCTTCCCAATGTTTTACCACATAACTCATCGGTCTCGGCTTGGTTCCAACGAGTTGATTTATGGTTACAGAACTCGGTGTTAGGCGTCGTTCTTGCTACCCAACACTTTGGAAATCCTCTGACAGCAGTGCCTTGCGCAGTTTCCAGTGTTTGTCACTCAATCTTTGGTAGCATTCTTGCTGGGATCTGGAGACAAAGCAAAGGTTAGATGAAAATGATGTCTTCTACACATTTTCTACACATTTTATCCGCAGCGCATTTCATGTTTCTGTTTTAGTAAATTTCAGAGATTGGAAGGGCTCAAGGGTAATTTCTAATTGTTGCCGATTCTTGAGATGGTGCTTTTTGCAATCATTCTATGTTTGAATTTTGATTCAAGTTTAAGTTTTTTTTAGTACAACATGTAGAAGTGTGGATTTGAACTCATGACTAGTCAGAGATATGTGTCTTAACCACTTGAGCTATGCTTCGGTTTAGCCAAGTTTAAGTTTGTTGTAGAAAAAGCCCTTGGATGTTGTATAAAAATCTTGCGACTTCTTTTAATGTTACCTGTCTGATTATGAATAAGAACTTTTCTTCTGCAGTTTTTTTTTTTAGGATTTCTTAATTTTTGAGATTAAATTCCTTTTTTCATTTAGGGTTCTCTGGATCGTGTTTCTATTTATTGTTTTTCATTTTCTAAATAAGATTGTTTTTCATTTTCTAAATAAGTGAAAATAGAACCGTGTTTGCTAATTATTTTGTATTTATTAAAAAATTGGTAATTAATTTTTTTATTTATTAAAAAAACATAAAACATGTTTAATAACTATTTCTTATTTTTCAATCTCTAAAGTTTTAAATTAAAATTTTTTAATTAAATATTAAAAAAATTTTGTTATATTCATTTTTTTTAATATTTATTATACTTTTTATGAGTCAAAAATGCTAAACAAATGCTTTAATCTTTTGGAAAAAAACTGGATACGCGGATAAGAAACTTATGTGTCGTTTGGTAACGTTTTGCCTTTCTTATTTTTTTACTATCTTTTTTAATAAACAAAAACATTATTACATTTGGTAACTATTTTTTTAAGGAATAAAACTTAATTTCGTTTCTGATAAAAAAAAATTGACTTTGTTGGAAATAAGAACCAGAAACTAGAAAATTGTTATAGAAATCATTTCGTATTATGGTTTTCATTTAGGGTGGAACTTCGAGTTTGATGCTTTAATAATTGAGTTATGCGTAAGTCGGATATATTTAGAGTAATTTTAAGTTTTCTTAAAATCAATTTTATAATTTGATTGATATGGTCAATGGAAAGAAAAATAATTTTGATAATGACAAAAGTGATTTTTTTTAGTACAGCACGTTGGGGGAGTGTATTGAACTTACAAAGTTGGAGGTATATACCAATTATCGTTGAACTATGTTTGTTTTTGGCGACAAAAGTGATTCAAACAAACTCTATAACTCAATCTAGATCGATTCATATCCCTTGTTAAGCAAAAGATTGAATTTGAAATTTGGTTAAAATAAAAAGGGTGAAATGCAATTTTTTTTTAGATTATATGACCAAATTAAAACAAACAATGTTAACATCAAAAGAATAAATAAAACATGGGTAGTTTATAGTAATAAAAACCTATCCGAGTATAGTTCGAGTAAGAATCTATTACCATCCTAAACATCAATAGTTTGATTCAAGGACCCTGCAATTGTTGAACTCTAAAAAAGAAAAAAAAATCTAGAGATGAAAGCTATATTTTTAACCAAAATTTAAGGCTTGTTTGAGAAATATTTTATTTATAAACATTAATCCTACATGTGTATTTATTTGTTTTATTATCTACTCTTTTAAGAACGTGTTCAAAATCTAAGACAATTTAAAAATTAAAATAGCACTTTAAATATTTATTTTGTTTTTAAAATTTAAATGTGTTCACAAGAACGATAAAATATAGAAAAAAAAGAAGAAGAAGAAAACTAGGGTTCATATCTCCTCGTGAGCTCATCCATGAATTAGATTTGATCTTACGTGGCAAAAATACGGGCCTCCAATTCCTTTATCGGTATAAGAGAAACCCGACCCGTTATACTTCGGAAAAAAGCGCGGGACATTGGCGCGTTTTCTTTAACCAAAAAGTGAAATTTCATCCAAAAGAAAAAAAAATTCAAACGAAAATTGAACGACGAACTTTTTTTTGCAGTTCCCCGCCGGATTCAATCTCCCAAATCAAAAATTTGTGAATCTTCGTTTTCTTTCTTTCCGGTTCGCGGGAACTCTCGAATTCGAAAATCTCATAAAAAAACCCTCCCAATTCTCATACTAAAATGCGAACCGTCCCCAATTTTTCTACCTCATTCGCTTTCTTCTTCCTCGTTGGATCGACGAAAACCCCACAGCGAACTTGCAGAGGCAAATGGATTCCCTCCATGGATTACCTCCTCTCAAAAGGCTCAGAATTCTTCAAGAACAAGAACGAAAGCGGCAGCAAGCGGACCAATTGCTCGATTCATGCTCCCTCCCAGCAAAGAAGCGAAAGGAGTCTCGTGACTCGTCGTTCCTCTTCCCTGACGCTACATTGCCTCACAGAACCGCAATGTCTGCTTCTCCTTACTGCTTGCCGACCAAGAAAAGAGTGTGGGCGCTTCGCCCTGATTTTGCATCTGAATCGCTGGATCTCAATGTCGAATACAAGCCACATCCGGAGGAAGAATCGGTTTCGAAAGCGGCACCAGAGAGAGAGGAAAAGGAGAGTGAGAAGGGAAAAGGAAAGGGAGATGAAATTTCCGATGTTGAAACTAACCTAGAAGAAGACGAGGACGAAGACGACGGGATTCTCTGTGCGATTTGCCGGAGCACGGATGGAGATCCTTCGGATCCGATCGTGTTCTGTGATGGCTGCGATCTGATGGTTCACGCTTCGTGCTATGGAAATCCTCTGGTAAAGAGCGTACCGGAAGGCGATTGGTTCTGCAGCCAATGCTTGGCTTCTTCTTCGTCTTCCAAGACGGAGAAGAAGATTTCAGAATCTCCATTTTCTTGCTGCCTTTGTCCTCTCAAAGGTGGGGCTATGAAGCCGACGAAAGATGGCCGGTGGGCTCATATTGTCTGCGGCCTCTTTGTTCCTGAGGTGTTCTTCGAGGACCCGGATGGCCGAGAAGGAATTGATTGCTCAAAGATTCTGAAGAGGAGATGGAAATCCAGATGTTATATCTGCAAAACTTCTAGCGGCTGTGCCATTGATTGCTCTGAGCCCAAGTGCAATTTGGCTTTCCATGTTACCTGTGGGTTGGAGGAGGATCTTTGTATTGAATACCAAGAAGGAAGAAGATCTGGTGCTATTGTAGCTGGGTTCTGCAGAAACCATACTGATTTGTGGAAGAAGGTATAAAATTACATTCTCCTCTCTCTCTTTTCAGCTGAATCTTTTATGTTAATTGTTACTGCATATGAAAAACAAGTTTTCAGCCATTAAAGGGTTGGCTAGAATTCTTGGAATGATGACTCACCTTTAGCATAAGAGATCACAAGAGATAAGGGGTGGAAATAGAAAGTTAAACTTTACCTTTCAAATTTTTATATGTATAGTATGTTTTTTAAATTTTAGAAGTTATAGAAGGCAAAATTGAAGAAAGGATTCTAAATCTTTGATCTTTTTGTATACATTCTTTTGAATGTAATATGAACTAAAGGAGACAATCATCTCCTTCCTTCTTCACTCTATCATGGAGGAGAAGAAGTGCAGGAAACCAGGGGTAGAGATTAGTGAAGAAATGTTCCATTTAAAGGAAGCTTTAAAACCTTAAGTTTTTGTACAATTTTTTTTTTTTAAAATTTAATATGAACTAAGGGGCAATTGAACCATCCTTGTTGCTACCTCTGTAGGAGTTTTCTCCTAAGGAGAAATCATCAAAAACATATTTTAAGGTTAAAATTTTGGGTCACTAAGTTATTGCAATGTGGGTTATGGTTTGAATGTTGTATACTCTTGTGCTTGCAGCAACAACTAACAGGGAAGTTCAAGATTGTGGCCAGAGATGAAAGGTGAGTTGTAGTTGCTACTGAGAAAACAGCAAATTAGCTATGGCCTCAAGTTTAGGATCAATGTTTAGATATTGCTCTTCCTCTAATCTGAGATTGGAATTTTCGATTTTTCAGAGGAGGTATAGATGTTTTAACTATTTAATTAGGTTAGATATAGTTTTTTTTAGTATAATAATATAGATGATGAAGATTTGAATTCATAATCTTTCGATTGGGATATGTCAATTAGGTGAGTTACTTTGAAGTTGTGTTTAAATATTGTTTTTTTTACGTTTTAGAATTTGTAATTTTGATGCTAGCAAATGACAAAATTGTACCTGTAGTTTTTTTTATCCATATTTTAATGTTAAAAGTTTAATGGGAGCAACACTAATGGTCTATTTGGTAGCAATGATTTTCAATCTTTGTGGATTTCAGATGTATTTTGTTGTTTGTTATTATAGGACAGAAAACGTGATTTCCAATTGTTTTTCTTTTTTTTGGACTAAAACAATTAGATTTTGTTGGATTTTATAGAATTTTAAAGCAAATTACTTAATTAACATTGTTAATAACGTTTAAATAATAAATTAATTGTATTTTTATCTTTATCAAACATTCAAATAAATAAATTCAATTATATTCATTTTTAATTATTCTCAATAGATAAATAATATAAAATTTTTCTTGGTTTTCAAATTACATAATTTAAAATCACTTTTTGAAATTTTTTTTTATCCTAAATAGAAGGTAAAATTGAAGTGGAAATATTGTCTGAGATGATAACTCAAAGGAATTGTTGAATAGTTGAGTAAAATTAATATGATTGTTATAGATGGTTTCACATTGAATTAACAAGTATCAGTATTGGATGGAAGTATATTTTCTTAAAAATAATAGTTTTATTTTATTTGTTTGTTTTTTTTAGTATAATACGAGTGGAAATTTGAATCTATTAATGTTTTAATTGAAAATATAATTTTAACTAATTGAATTATGTTAAAACTAGTATATTTTATCATTTTAAAATATGAAAAACTCCAAAAGAATTGATGCTTTTAAGTTTAAGTTTCACCATCTATCCTACCAATTTATTTTACCTAAGTATAACTCAATTAAATAAGATATAAATCTCATTTTAAACATATCAATATAATGATAGGAATAAATATCTTATAGTTTAACTTGGTTTAGATTTACCCTTTAAATCAACCAAAGAAAGAATTAAAAACTAATATCTATTGCCAGTGGGTTTGGTAGGTGAAGATAAATTTTTTTTAAATGTGATTTAAAATAATTCAAGATAATAGAAAGTGATCTCGGATGGAATTGGTAAGATTAAATTATTGTTCTCTCTTTTTAAGTAAAGTTTGATTATTGTTGACTTGTCGTTGTCTTTTTCTAATATTATTGGCCCTTTATATGTAAAAACTTAAAATATCATAAAATTTAAAACCATGTGATAGTTTTTAATGTTTTATTTCTTAAGACATGAAAACAAGAAATAAGATTTGATTCAATTCCATTATCATGCAAATCCATATTTTTAAGTATAAACACTAAAAAAAACATTTCATTTGAAAAAAATAAGAAAAAATATCATTCTCAAATAGGTTATTTGTGAAATAATTTCAACCAACTCTATCATTTAGACGTGATTATTTTTTTTAAATAAATTTATAAACTTTATGATAAAAACAAGGGTGGTCATGTCAAAGATTTTGATAGGATAGGCTGTTGGCAAAAGAAAAAATTTTAATTGAATTTTTTGACGTCTTTGGGACTCTTGCAACAATAGCAAAAAGATTTAAGTAAAATAATAAATTTAGCACTAACATTTAAGTATTTTAAAATATATTAATTTTTTCACAAAAGTGGATGCCCAACTTAGAAAATGTCCGATTTATCTTATAAGCCCGAAATATGGAGTCGTCAAAGAAGAACGGAGGAAGGCATGTGATATATTTGTAATATGTGCTGTATCTATAAGATACATTTGTAATATGTCATAACCTATTATATATATATACATTCGATATACGAGTGATATGAATGTTTGATATATTTGCAATATGTATGTGATATATATTTGATATATTATTGATATAAGTGAATGATATACACTTTTAAAAAAAAAGTATGATATACAATTGATATGAGTATCTAATATACTATTGATTTAAGTATTTAATATACGAACAAAGGAAAAACGAGGCCCAATTTTATGCGCGAGATTTGGAAAAATAATTCTAATTTTGTGCTAATTTTAAGAAACATGTGACATATTTTAAAATGTATGAAAGATTTTTACTACTCATTACAATTTTTAATACAATATTGATATGATAAAGAAGTAATACCAAAAATTTGATATTATTCTTGTCTATGTCAATAAAAATGTCGATGTCTCAATTTTATGAAAACGTTAATGAATATTTATGGAATAGTTAAAAAAAAGTCTAAATGAACAAATAAGTACTTTAACGTATTTAAATAAATAAAAAGGGATTAATATTAATAAAATTTGGTAGATATTTTCTATATTTTATCTATTTTTTAACCATACTATATAAATGTTTATTTATCCTCGGAGAATAGAGGAGAGAAATATATGAAAATTTTAGTGGAAATGTTGATCGGACATTTAACACCCTGGCCTCACTTTGGCAAGTATTAGTTTAAAAATTATCGAGAAAGAGAGAGAAAAAACGTGTTCAGTCCGTTGATCGCTGAGTCGTCCACTTCCATGGAAACCGCTCATTTCACAGAGACGAACAAGAACAGCGTCCGAACTAAAACTCCAAAATCGAAATCCATTTTTTCATCTCGCCTTTTCGCGCCGAAATCTGAATCCTATCAACCGAAGAACATGGAGAAGAACGCATCATCAACATACGGGAGCTCGATTCCTGTGCCCTCTGTTCAAGAATTGGCGAAGCAGCCGTTCATCGAAATTCCACCTCGATACGTCCGCTCCGATCTCCTCCGCTCGCCGATCGTCTCCGCCGCTTCCGAAATCCCCGTAATCGACTTTGCGAGCTTGCTTTCCGGCGCTTCAATGGACTCAGAATCGGCTCGGCTTCATTCCGCATGCAGAGATTGGGGATTCTTCCAGGTTCGTCTCTCTCTCTCTCTCTATTTCTATCCGTGAGAATCTGAATCTGAATCAGAATCTGATCAATCGGCTTCGTCTGGTCGGATCTTTTTGAGGCGTGCAGTTAGTGAACCATGGAGTGAAGATCGAGAAAATGCGAATCGAAACGCAGGAGTTTTTCAAGCTTCCGATTGAGGAGAGGAAGAAGCTATGGCAAATCGAAGGAGATGTAGAAGGTTTCGGTCAAGCTTTTGTGGTATCTGAAGAACAAAAGTTGGACTGGTCTGACATTTTCTTCCTCTGTACCGCGCCAGAACATCAGAGGAAGCCGCGCTTATTTCAAAACCTCCCTCTCTCCTTCCGGTACTGATTCAAAAACAAGTTTATAAATGAATTTATCGAAATAGAAGATGAAATCTAAACAAATTAATTAAAAGCTGATTAAGGTTGTGGTGATCGGAGATAGAATTTGGGGATTGGAATGTGCAGAAACGCATTGGAGGATTACTCGTCGGAGGTGAAGGATGTGGCGGCGGCGATTGTGAGGGAATTGGAGAGGGCGTTGGAGATAAAAGAGGGGGAGATGACGGAGATGTTCAAGGACGGGAATCAGTCGATGAGGATGAACTACTACCCGGCTTGCCCGGAGACGGAGAAGGTGATCGGACTGACGCCTCATTCCGACGCCGTGGGGCTCACGATTCTGCTGCAGATCAACCAAGTGGAAGGTCTGAAGATAAAGAAAGAGGGGAAGTGGATTCCGGTGGCGCCACTCCCAGATGCATTCATCGTCAACATTGGAGACATCATGGAGGTAAACCTTCGTTTTACACTGATAAATGTTGCCATTTTTGGAGATTCTGATCTCTTAGGGCTCTGTGTTTTTATGTGTTTCAAAAAAAAAAAAAAAAAGCTACGTGTTTTTGTCAAAATACCATTTTGGTATATCTATTTTAAGCCTAGTACATGTTTCGTTCATATGCTTAAATAAAACTTAATTTGGATTGAAAAATTTGAGACAAAAAATAAAAATTAGAGGACAAAAAGAGTGCAAAATGGGGATGTTTTAGAAGTATTGAGACGAACCAAAGTGAAAGTAATTTGGACAAAAATATTATTTAAACATTTTATTTTTATTATTAAAAGAAAAAAATTCTCTCTTTTGTTCTTGTTTTCTGAATTTGCAATGGTCCTTGATGTTACGTCCCAGCAAACTATGTAAAAACTGTATATTACTTTTTCTTCTTTTTTTTTTTGTTTTGTTTTGAAAAGGATATATTACTTTCACTAATACTAACCCGCACAATCTATAAACTATATTTTGTTTATCAGGTGGAATCCACTTTTTTATTTTTTTTTTGGTTTTAAATTTTATGTTGAAGTAAAAATTTTGTTATTGAAATTTCAGGTTTGTGTTTAATAGATGGTAAAGATATATAAACTCTTGAGTCTAATATGTTCTTGAACTTTTATATCATTTCCGACCTATTTGATATTTTTAAAATTAACAAATCTATTTAGATATAAAATTAAATTTTGTATTTAATAGGTGTGTGAATTTTAATAAATGTCATGTTAATGATTATTAGATAAAGAATTAAAAATTTAGAGACTCATTAGATAAAAGATAAAATTTTAAGAATCTATTAGACATTTTTTGAAGTACCGGAACTCATTTGAAACTTGAGGACTAAAACTTGATAAATAAATATAAAATGCTTAAAAAGAGAAAATAGTGCTCAATCAAAATTACTTTTTTAAAAATGAAAAGAAATGTAGTTAACGGATAAATTATGATTAAAAAATTTAAAATATATTTATAAAAGAAGATGGTTCTTTATAAGGAAAAAAAAGTTTAAATATTATTTTGATTCTCGTATTTTCAACTTTGGTTAATTTTTGTTTAGGTACTTTCAAAATAACCATTTTAGTCCTTACACTCTCAATTTTTGTTATTTTCGTCCGAATACTTTTGAAACGTTTGTACATTTTGAAAGTGCAAGAATAAAACGTAAAAACCTAAAATAGTATTTAAAAAAAAAAGTTATTCTTTCAATTTTAGGAGTTCTTTATTTTTAATATTTTTTGAGTAGAATAAAATCAAAGATAGAATGATAGGGGAAATTTCTGAAATATAATTAAAACCATAATGGTTTTATTTTTTAGTTTGCTCTTTTTTCGAATTATTAGTGTATTTTGTAAGTGTGGTGGCACTGGCAGATGATAACGAATGGGAAATACAGAAGCATAGAGCACTGCGCAACAGTGAACTCAGAGAGTGAAAGGCTTTCCATAGCAACCTTCTGCAATCCAAGCTTTGAGAAGCTAATAAGGCCAGCCCCATCCCTCATCACCCCTCATTCCCCTCCTTTGTTTACATCTTTGACATATCAACACTATGTGAGTGGCCTCTTCACTCGCAAACTCGACGGGAAATCTTACCTCGACGCTATGCGAATTAACCACCCTCCCACCTAAACGATCAAGAGTCGAAGATTGAACAACTTGTTTCTTTGGCTTTCTAAAATCCCATATGAAGGGTAATAAAGCAAACTACCTGCTCTTTACATTGAGTACTCTAGATACGTAAACTAAGTTTTATTTTGATCTCTTAACTTCAGATGATATGTATGTGATCATTTCAATTTATGCTTGTTTTTACTTTTTCATAAATTATTCTAGCTAATTTGTGAATGCTTTTAGGCCAAGTGAAAAATCAATCGGAAGAATGTTAGTTATTTCTTTGATAGTATTTAACACAAATTTACACATATTTTCTACAATCAGAATCATAATTCATCAAATATATAACAATTATTAGTATAATCCTTTCTTCCTTCTAGCTAATTACAAATATCAATCTTCTTTTTAATTAAAATAGTAATAAATTTTAATTTAATTTTTTACTATATTATTGATAGTAAATTTTTTTTATAACAATTTATTTAATATTAATAAATAAAGAAGAATTAAAATAAAATTACATAAACTAAAATATTTTTTTATTAGAACATCCATAATTTAATATGAAATATGAATGGGTTCAATTAGTATTTATCAGTCATATCCATGCAATTGCAAAGAAATAAACGTGGACACTTTCTCATCCAACCACTCAAATGCTCCCCAGCACACAGCACCATAATTACTCCTGCCCAATCCAACCATCCAGATTCCATCAATCAGCTTTCACACCCAATCATGCGGCTGAGATTGCAGAATCTTCATAACATTCTGTCTTGCACACTACACTAGCCTGCTTCTGCTGCCGAGTATTTCAATAGAAACTGAAAACCCAAGTTTATTTTAGTGTCGGCAATGGCTGCCAGAAGTTCGAGTTTATCAATTCCAACTGGGTTTCTCAATTCCTCCAAAACCCAACAAGGTTTTAAGATCATCTTTGTGTCATCTCCAAGTTTCAGAGCACCCAAAAAGCTTTCATCATCTTTCGTTCGTGCAATGGGCTCCTCCTCCTCTTCCCAGCGACCAGATGGCATCCGAGGTTTTTTCTCTTCCTTTCTACTTGTGATTTACCATAAATTTCATCATACTCTCTTTGTGTTTTCTCTCTTCCTTTTCGCCATCAAATATTGTTTCTTCAGACTGACTTCTATCATTACTGTAATTCTTAACTTCCGTTCTGATGCTGGAGGGTTCCAAGTTGAGATTGAACTGTATATGATAAAGTTTATCAGAATCCAGATTTCAGTATTGAGAGAGAGAGAGAGAGAGAGAATTTCTCTTACCAATTTGGTGCTATGAACATGTCTCTGATTTGACTATTGAAGAAGCTCTTGTTGGGTGCAGAGGCTGAGGCTGACACCACGGATTACAAATCTATAAGCAATGATGAATGGAAGAAACGGCTCACAAAGGAGCAGTTTGATATTACTCGTCAGAAGGGAACTGAGAGAGCTTTTACTGGGTATGCTGTAATATAGTTTCTTCAACGCACCATTTTCTCATTATGTTCTATTTTAACCTTTTTCCTTCAATTCTAGTGAGTACTGGAACACCAAAACGCCAGGGACATACCACTGTATATGTTGCGACACAACTCTGTTTGAGTAAATATTCTGGTCCTTTTAGAAACTTCTCTATGCAGCTGCTTTTGTTGTATATAACTTCCAATAACTTGCAATATTCTCTCTTCAGATCATCTACTAAATTTGACAGTGGGACTGGTTGGCCATCATATTACCAGCCTGTTCGTGATAACGTCAAATCCAAGCTAGACTTGTCTATTATTTTCATGCCTCGAGAGGAAGTTCTTTGTGCTGTTTGTGATGCTCATCTGGGCCATGTATTCGATGATGGACCGGCGCCAACTGGGAAGCGCTACTGCATCAATAGGTGAGTTGAAATTGCTGGCTCTTCTTGTTTTTACTGATTTTCAGAGCTGACCTGTGAGTAAAACTCTCTGCAGTGCTGCACTTAAACTGAAGCCGAAGCAGTAGGCGATGGTGAAGATACTCGCGTGCCTGCGTGTGAATTCCGTAACCCATACTACTCCTAGTTACACGTTTGTGCGCATGAACTAAGGATTCCTACAAGATGTATAAGTTTACTTGTGTTGAATGGAAATAATTGTACCTCTCGCGACTTTGTTCAACATGTGTTGCCTCCGACTCTGTCACCCCTGACTGGACAAATTGATTCTCGGCTTAATAAGAAAGTACCCCTAGTAGCTCCTTTCATTATTCTTGATTCTTTCCAAAGGCCAAAGCTCTCTCTCATTTACCAACTAGAAAATCTGCTTATAGAATGGAGCTATGCTCAGTCTAATATAGCATGATGAGAGAACTAGGTGCGGGTAGGGGATCATCACTCTCTAGTTCTAACCCGATCCAAACTAACTTCATGAGTATGTTGTAAATCGACATTGCCTTTGAGATGGGAAATGAAAGTTGAGTTTCTTATCCTAGAAAGGACAAGAGGTCTGAACTGTTGTATAAGACTAGCAAGAATTTAAACATAGATATCATAAGATTGTCCCCTTGACAAAGCTGCAAACTCGTTAACTAACCAATGAATCAACTAACTTGGAGGCTTCCGACATATTTTCCTTGCAAACCAAAGCAATAACTCTAGCCCATGTGTCCATATTCATGGCATTTCCTCTTCCTAGACTGTCTAAAACCATCCACAACAGCTCCACATCGCATTCCTGGCATAACCCGTCGACGAGTTTGTTTATGCTTTCAGAACGAGGCACATAACCCTTGAAGATCATCTCGTCCAGTATGGAAGTTGCTTTCTGTAACTGCATCGTTTCACAAAGCCCATCAAAAAGTGTCCTGTATGATACCACATCAGGAGAGCACCCACGTCTAGGCATGTCTTCAAGTAAGTCAATAGCTTCATTCCATTTCCCCTTTTTGCATAACTCTCCGATGATAGAATTGAAACTAATCACATCTGGCTTACACCCTTTCTCCACCATCTCATCCAAAACTCTAAACGCAGATTCGAGATCGTTTTCTTTACAGTGCCCACTGATCATGGCATTGTAGGTTACCGTATCGGGTTTGCACCCATTCTCTCTCATCTCTCCTAAAATGTCACAAACTTCTTCTTTTCTTCCATGTTTAAAGAGCGCGCTAATTAAAGTAGAATAAATCGCTGAGTCCATTTTGACCTTGCTTGTCACCATCTCTTCCTTTAGTTCGAAAGCCAAAATCAATTCACCAATCCCACAGAACCCTTTAATCAAAGTAGCGTATATAGACGCATTAGGCAAAATCCCACACACTCTAACCATATCTTCTTTCAATTTCAATGCTTCTTTCAACTTAGAATTCAGAGAAAGGCCATAAATCAAAGTTCCAAAAGTGACCACATTAGGGTGAATACCTCTCTTTCGCATTTCATCGAACACCTCCCATGCATCATCCGAATTCCCACATAAATAGGCAGCATGAATCAAAATGTTAAAAGTACAGGCATCTGGGGATCCATAACTTCCAATTCCCACAAAAACTTCCGCCATTTTCTCAAACTCCCTGCACTTCAACAACGCATCCAACAACGAATTCGCGGATTTCACCGTCCGGTTGCAGCCGAAGGACGGAATTCGTTCGAACACTTGGAAGGCACGGTCGGGGAGGCGGGCTCGGCCATAGAACGAAATGACATTACAGAAAATGATTTCACTCGGGGCAAAACGAGTCTCTTGCTTAAGCTGGAGGAGGACTTGTTCCATTTCATCGAACAATTTGGCACGCCCGAGCTTGGAGATGATGAGATCGTAAGAAAGGAGGGAGTATCGGAAGGGTTTTGGGGGTTTCGCAGCGCTGGGATTAGGGCTCTGGAAGTGCTGAAAAGCGATTTTTGGGTCCTTTTGGAGCCGGAGGAGCGAACACAGCCGGAAGGGAGAAATCGGTTTGTGGGTCTTCATTTGGATGCAGTTGATCTACCGTTAATCCAGCTTAAAACTAGTTTCTTCTTCCTTTCGATGATTTTGGCGGCTCTCTCTCAATTCCCCCTCTGGTTCGATTTCAACACCACCAAATGAATCAATTATAACTTCAAACTTTTAATTTTGGGTAAAAATATTACATACATGCATTTTTAGCTTTTTGTTCTAATTGTACTTCGAACGCTTGTCCTCGTCGGCACCGAGATCTAACTAAGGATCTAATACAGAATTACGATAGACATCAACTACTCATTTAAATTCGAAAAACGTAATGCATATTTCAAGCTCGTCCTGTAACCTTTTTCGTTGGATAACTCATTTAGGAACACAGTCAAGAGGAGACTTAATCGATGGGAGCTTTTGATTACCATTAGTCACAGTCCCGAATGTCATTCTAGATATGAAGTCCACTGCTGTTTGTTCTATGAAAATTTTATTTTGGTTTATTTAATTCCAATTTGATTTATTTTAATGTTATACTTTCAAAATCTTCCTATAAAATAAATAAATATTTTTTGTTTTACCAACACGCATGCTTCAATGATAATTGATACATGTTCTTTTTATTATTATTATTATTATTATTTTTAACATGATTCAATGGTAATTGATACCTACTTATTTTCTTGAAATCGAAAATTCAAACTCTCGTACTCCTAATTTATTGTACTAAACAATGATTTTTTTTATTTCTAAAGTTTATATACAATTTGGGAATCTCTTCTAAAAATAACAAGGTTTTCTTTTTAACTTTCTCCTACTAAAAATTTCTTTCTAAAAATTTTCTTTCTCAATTCGAAACATCCATGTCTAGAATTATATTATATAATTTTCCTCTCTCCAAAATTTTCATAAATGTAATATTTTTCTAAATTTTTATCTCTAAAATTTCGCGTTTTATAAATTTTTTTTCTCTAGTAAATATATTGTCAACTCTTCTCTATCTAAATTTTTCTCTTCCAATTTTTTTCACTGTAATTATATTTTTCACTATCCAAATATAATTATAAATTTTTGTCACTATAATATATTTTTCTCTATCTAAATATAATCAGGCGGAGGAAGAGAAACCAGAGGTACATGGGAAGAGGGAGCAAAGAGAGAGAGAAAAATAAAAAAAGTACACAAATATGTTAAAAGTAATATAAAATTAAATAAATATACAACTCACAAAGCCACATCGACATTCCGTTAGTGTTACTCATGGATTTAACTCGAACATCTTATAGAACTATTTTCTAAAGATCAGAGACTGAACTATTACTTTTTGAAATTTGGGACCAAATAAAAATCTATCTCCAATACTTTTTGAAATTTGGGACCAAATAAAAATCTATCTCCAAACTCACAGCCTAAAAATATATTTTACCCTAAAAAAAATGGTTACTTGGTTCCCATAATTTTGAAATCACATATATTTATGTATATTTGTTTCTCATGCTCATTCCTTGTTTTTTCATACAAAAAACAAAATAATTGTTTTATCATTATTTGACTTATAAAGTTCATAATAAATATTTTTAATTAAGTATTAAAAAATTAATTATAACATGATTATTTGGATTATTTTATTTATTACTTTTTGCTTAAAAGTTTAGTTTTGAATTTAAAATTTGAGTACGAAACGTTTTTATGTTTTCTTAATTAAAAAAATATCAAATATTTCTTAAATGAGAAAAATACCAAAAAAAAAAAAAAATTAAAAAAATAGAATGCTATCACAAAACGATGGTATTATTTGATAATTTCCTACCAAAAGATAAAAGAATTATCTCTAATCTGTCAAGGTTCAAATAAGATATTCATGTAAATCGATCCCTTCTCTCATTATTAGATGTTCTAATCATCAAAATCGTGTCCATTGACAATTGATCTCTAGGGCGTATTGAATTTGCGAGTGGGAGAAGAAGATCTAATGATGTAGCACAAGAGTTAGTTCTTCTATTGTTGGCATTAATCTTAATCGAGTAAGTTTTACCTATCGCACTAATTAATACATAGGTAGTATTAGGAATAGGATGAAAGTGAGACAATGAAAACAATAAAATCATTCAAAGATTAATTATATATTGTATTTATTATTACTTAGAGCTCACGTATATCAAAAGAGCACTTGCAAAATAGTAAAAAACTAATAATTAGGTGCAAAATTAACAACCAAAATAACAAAAATTGGAAATTCAGCCTATACACAATAGAAAAAAGAAAAATAAATTTTCCCTTAAATAACACTGTTTAAGGAATTGAAAAGTTTGAATCGGAGGCACATAAAAAGTCACTAAATATATTCTTAGAAAATTTCGAACCAGACCATTTGTACTTACTTCAATGAAGGAAGCGCGGGCTTCTTTGATAGAAGAACTTTTTTTATCCCGTTTTTAATTTAACAATAAACAAGTCCGAACTAATTGAATGCTTGTGCCAAAAATTCCTTGAAAATAAATAAGATATTAAACACAACATTAATAGCTAGTCTTCTTTTGAGCTTACTATTAATTTGTAAGTAGTACTCTTAAGGCAGTTCGAACATTAATAACTAATTTGGTGCAAGCCTTCTTTTGGATCGACAAAAACCCACATGGCATAGCTTAATGTTATTTATGTTCATCGCTGTAAGTGAATATGTTATTGGACCAGAATAGTAGCTTCCTTTGAACGGTTACAAGAATGCATAAATAGCAAATTCACTAACATCTTATAATTTTAACAATATCAATTATTTAGTAACAAATGCTACTTTGACAACATGTTCCTTCACTTTGATATAACTAAAATAAAGTTATGCACGCAAGATTTAATTTTTTATATTGTTAATTATATTTATATGAAAATAAAATATCAAAGTTATTTTAAATAATTAATCATGTATAAATTTTATTAAATTGGTAAAAGGTCCTTAAAATAAGCCAAATGTCCCATAAAAACCAAATCCAACCATTAAAACTTAAGAATCGGACAAATTATTCCAACATTGATTTGGTTCGGCGGCCCACCGGTTTGGTTCAAAAATCGAAGAGGACACACGTGGCGAGCCTAGAGACCATACGTGGCACGTGCCGGAACCGTGGTTCCTTATTAACCGCCATCTGTCAGTCTCAGTAAAACAACTATTATGGTATGTGTTTCATAAAACAATATATATTTAGGCATTCCAACCATAGTTTACCAACATCATATAACAATTTGATATTGAAATTCAATTTCAAATCGAGCAACATACCATTAAAGAAGAAATAAAAAAATAGCATAATTCTTCCATTACGACCATGTAGAACAACATGTTTGAAAATGAATATCAAATCAGAATCCATGATTATAAACATATTTCATAATAAAAAACTCTATTGTGAAAACTTTCAATTCAACAAAAACAATATGTGTATATCTTACTCTGATACCATTTGGTGTAATTACTAATAATAGCAATAACCTTAAGATGATTATGCATATCAAATTATTAAAATCGAGAACATAAATGATTACATCTATATTGGATTGGATCTTCTTAACTAAATACACCATAACTCAAAACTCTCTCTTGTCATATAGAAAACAGGAGAACTGAAATATGTTTATCGTATTGGAGACCATAACTTTTGTGTCCTATTTATAAATTCTTCCTGACCCCGTCAAATCTAGTCAGATTAAATGACTAGACGAGAAATATAGATGAAGAACGATCAAACTTGAATTAAATCGTGTTTTCGACAGTACCTCTCTATTGGATTAGATCTTCCTCAACGAAATGCACCGGAACTCTATAGAAAACAGGAGAACTGAAATATGTTTACCGTATTGGAGACACCATAAAATCGGATAAGAGTAAATGACTAGGCAAGAGAATTATAGATGATATATAGATGAGAACAATATCTTCATTGGTATGACACCTTTTAGGTGAAACTTCAAGCCGTGCGGATTGTATCCAAAGCGTACAATATCATACTATTGTAAAGTACCGTTATTCTTGTTAACACACCTAAATAAAAGTTCATACTTAATGAAAGTCAAATAAGTCCATTTCTTTGCCAATGACTTTAATTGTTCCATTAAATAGTTTAATAATAAGTATATTAATACGTGGTCTACGTATTATTAGAATGTACAAATATTCTAGAACTCTCCTCCCTCGCCACAACCATTAATAAATAAGCTGAAACGAAATTGTGCTTGAAAGTTCTCTCAAATAATTTTGTATTTGTTTTTCCTGTGTGCATGGAGACGATGATGTCAGTTGTTTGGATTTGGGTGGTGGTTTTAGTGGGATTATTA